GACATCTCAGTGAGGGAGAAATTTAGTCTTTAGCTGAAAGATGGCTCAAGGAAAACCCAAACTGCATTATTTGTGTTTCCTCCCCCATAGCAATGCCAACCACAAGTTTATACACCGATACTCCTTTTCTGTGTGCCGCAGCAGCCTCACAAATTAAAACTCTTTTTTTCCCCACCCCTTGGGCACCACTTCCCCAGTCGTATACTCTCCTAGCAGTGATGGCTGAAATGAGGATAACTTCTCTAAACAAAGACAGGCATCTACATTGCTCAAAGTAGTATCCATATATTATATGGGAACTGCTGAGTGGCTTTTCCTCACATTACCGAGAAGCATATGTTTCCTCCATACATTTTGTGATACCAGGCATATGGCCCCCATCCAGCAAGCTATGGAAGGGTTTGTTGTGTGTGATTTTATGAAGCAAAGCAGGAATAGGGGCTGCCCAGGAGCTCTGCTTTCAGCCTGTGTTACCCTGGTAGGAGGGAAGAGCAAAGGGTGTGCAATGTCTCTTTGAATCAATTTGCGAATATACAAAAAACACACAAACCACCATCTGTTTACATGGGTTTGCATCATTTCTGAGAGGAGGAAGCATAATATTTATGTAGGCTCTGCCTGTCATTGTGGAAAGCTAGATACAGAGCAAAATGAGAAAGCAAAGACTAGGAAAAAACCCAAAGCAGGGAAAAGCACAGGCCTAGAGGAGAGAAAAAAATGAAATTTAGTGAGTGAATAAGGAGAAAAGATATGCTATAGCTGTCTCCTGGATGTCTGCCCCTTAGTCTGTGTCCAGCTCTGCTGGTCTACTTGGTGCTCAACACCCTTGGAAAACCCAGGCTTCCCTATCACCTTGGCACGACGCATCTGGAAAAGTGTATGCAAAACACCATCCATTCTCTGGATCTGCCACCCTAATACCACCAAGTGTCAAGGGTGCCACCTCTGGCCTCACCTGTGAAGCTCAGCCATCTCTGAGCTCAAGCATGATTTGACTACTAATTTCTCAAGAGAATTAATCCTCTCTTTGATCTTCTTGTGATAGGTAACATTTTGGAAGCGATGTTGTCTGTGACAACCCATCACAAAGACTACTTCTGAAAGGCAATTTGGAGCACTGGAAGAACACGGTTATGTTGCCCACAGACCTGTCTGAACTGAGATGGCACCACTGGCAGCTTGAGCAAGAGCTTGAAGTGCTTTTTGAAGCCAAAGAAGCACACTTTTAAAGAATGTGTGGTTAAATCTAGCCCTTGCCCTTGACTCAATAAGAGCATTAGGAAGGTTTGCTCTGGGAATTCCTTCCAAGCAACAGATCATTGTGATGGGACCCTTTGCAGGGAATCCTTAGCTTGCATATAAACCAGAAGTTCAGAAATGGAAAAGATGAGATTGGAGGGTGACTGAAATTAGCCAGGTTCAAAAAGTCTTCTTGCTAATTTAGTACTTCAACAGCACACAGGTAAAGGCATAAAATAAATATTGTTTCCTCAGGTACAGCCTGCCACTTCCATGCCCTGAGCATAGCTGAGTAATCCTTTGCAATGTGGATCAGGGATAACAGGGAATGGCTGAGTCCTTCATCAGCCACACAGGTCTCACAATGGCTAATACATGTATTGCATGGTGCTGCAAGGCACTGATGAGAGGCTGTGTCTGAAGTGGTGCTTTAGCCTCATTTCTCACATCCCCAGTGGTAATTGCAATACTATTTATATTTCCAGGTCCTTTAACAGTCCTTTTCCAAGGTTAGTTTAAACACACTCAGCAGAGGTAACTCATTCTGCAGCTAGAAGAGGGAAAAGAGCAGAAAATGCTTCCAGACATTTTGGTGTGCCTGTGAAATGACCCTCTTGATCTGATTCTTCTTGACTCATTGTTTTCCTGCTATTCTCTCTGCCAACAAGCTCTATTAGACAGGACTGAGTCTCGCTGCAGAAAAAAAGGGTAAAAACCATGGCTCAGCAAGTTTGGCATGAAATGGTAAAATCAAGTGATAAATTAATTCACTGCAAGCAATACAAGACGCTGCTTAACAAGTAGCACTTTCCTAGAGTTGGGAAGACTACTTGTACCTCTATTTTCACCTCCCTCTGCCACCATGGCTGATCAAAGAGTGATATTCCTGTTGTGGTAGCTCTTTCTTATCATTGACTCTTCAGACTTCATCCTGCAGCAGGTAGAGTTAATTTTACATTGGGCTAGACAGTGTAAACAACAGAGATGGATTTATAGTATCTGAGGTAGGAATGAAGGAGCTGGCAGTGGGATGTTTCTTGTAACCATGTCTGCAGCCTATGACTAAGACTGGGAAATTAGTAGATGAGAAAGCCATATACTCAAAGGCCACCATTAAGTCAATGGGACACCTTACGAGTAACAGGTTCAGGCACCTCCAGAGGCTGACATGTTGCCCCTGCTCTGAATGGCTGTTTGAAGTTCTTATATCTCTTCACTGTTCACCTATGGACAGACTCACTTCCAACCCTGACACTTAAATATAAGGCCCAGACTTGGCATGATGCCTCCTGTTCATCATTAGATTTTGTCAGAAACAAAGGATGCCTAAGAAATGTTGGGGAGGGATAATAATTTTTAACGAGAAAATTATGAGAACATCCTTTGAAACCGAAATGTACAGCTCTGTAATGACATTGTGAACTGAAAGAAAAGCTGCTGTTTCTAGACAAAATGTCTTTTTTTTTTTTAATACATAATATTTTGACTTATTTGAAGGTGATGATAAATTTACCAAAAGGAAGTCTGTTAGGAAAATTCATCAACATGCTGGCAGAATGGAGGATTTATAGCAAATTATCTGTAAAAATAGATTAAATATCTTCCTCACTTTTTCCCATGCAATCCCTTAATTGGATAGCTAGTGCAGTTGTAAATAGCAGTTGTTCTTTAGTTCTTTGTGCCTGTTATAAGCAAAAAATTGCAAAGGTAGTGCTTGCTGAGACAGTTCAGGATAAAGTGAGACTAGGAGTGATTCTTCCTAGAGGGCACTTCTCATTCCATTTGGACCTTGGTAGGCTACAGATGTACCTGAGTAGTGTCCTTTCTGGCTCAGCATATTTTTTAAAAACCCCTCAGTTGTGCTTGCTTTTCAAAACCTGCATTAGCTGTAAAACCCCCACTGGATGGCCTAGTTTCCTGTGGAATTACAAAAATAAACAAGATGTGCCTTGGGCAGAATGACCTTATTCTTTGCATTCTTATTCCCTGCAGCACTTCCTTATGCTTTTTACTGCTGTGATATGTTGGATTGTGTTTTGCATCAGACAGTAGTGAAAGTAAGGAACTTGGTGTGGAAGCAGCAGTGATGTGAGAGACCCTTCCAAACGCCTTTCAGTGGGCACATGGTCTTTCCCACCTATGTAACTTCATACATTCAACTTTCTCGCTGACTTGAGCAGAAGCAGCACAGTCTCCTGTGAGATGTGGGTTCTGCCTGATTCTTCTCTTTCCTAGGTGACTGTTTCTAATCGTTAGCCAATATATTTTGGTGCCATTAATATCATCAGCTGTAAAAGAAAACGTGTAGGTAACTAGCCTTTAGGGACGGGAAAGGCAGGAAGACAGGAGCTGCCTCCCACATCTCAGGACTTTGCTAGAGGGGAACAAACACAACACAGCCTCCTCTCTTACATACCAAGGGCTTTTATCCATGGGCACTCAAACACTGCGGGCCATTGAGCTACAGAGGTTTTGCAGGTGCCTGGCTTTCACTCCCTCCCGTTGGAGCTGCTTCACTTTGTACAGGCGATTAAATATTCATTGAGCCAGGGAGAGAAAAGCAAGAGATTGATTCTATTGCCCAGTTGTTCTGGTCCTCACCTGGGATGTGAGAGATGCAGGGTCAAGCTCTTGCTCCAAAGATGATTTAATTATTTATACAAAGTGGAACAGCTCCAGCAAGGAGGATGCCTGATGGCCCTCTCCTGCACTGCACAAAACTTCTTCCCTTTTAACCTAGTGCAGTGACTTGATGCAGGTTTTCTGCTTGCCAAGTAAATGTTTCCTGCTTGTACTGTGATTTGTTAACTTCTCATTCTCACTCCCGGAGCTTGGGCATGGTGCTCCACAGCAGGATTCAGGGCTGAGGCTCTTTGCTGAGGGCCCCTTGCCCTCCAGCAGTTAATTTTTCACAAGGGTCAAGGATTAGCTTTTTACTAAGCCATGTACCCACCTCTACCCCTAGCATCTCAGCTCTCTTCAGCATCCATGCAATGGAGGAAGCCCCAGCACCTGCAGCAAGGGCCAGCTCTGAGAGGCACCAGGGACCAGGAATGTCCACAGGGATTTCCAGGGTCACAGGGACTGCTGTGACAGAGGGGTGGTGAAAATAAGCAACTCCCCTATAATAGAATCTTCTCATCCTGTTGGTTTCTCCCTGTTTTTATGTTCATTATTTATTTTGCTGTCCTAATATCAGTGCAGCTGTTGTAATTTCTGTTTCCATCTGACACCATTATCTAAAATTAATTGAGATGGAGAGCTAACATTTTCCCTTGCAAGGGCTGGCACGAATGGCCTGTGCCCTGTTATACTCAGCAGGTAAATGATCTTAGTTTCAGCAGTGTCCCACAAATTTTAAAAGGCCTGGATTAAAGCAGTGTCTTTAATAATGAGCTAGTCTGCTTTATAGAAAGGAAATTTAAGGACCTGACTACTAACACAGCAGGTTTTCCATGGAGCATTTAAATGGAATGTGCCACCTTCAGCTGACTAGGCTGTTCCCGTTGTTGTTCTGCAGCAAATGTCATCAGGTAAAAAACCAAAGGTGTCAGTATGGAGTCTCAATCTATACTCGCAGTTGTAACAGTGCCATGAACTCATTCACCTCATTTTACACACAGTTTGCTCCACTGCTGTCAATTTTTTTCGAGAATTTACAAACAAAGGAAAAGTTTTTCCTAAAGGCAACCACGAAGAACAATAAAACACAGCAGAAATAGGAACATTCTTTACAAGAATTATTCTTTTAAAGCAAACACAAACAAAAAAAAAAGGTTTTTTTCTTAAATCATTATAGGAAAGAAAATACATAGTGCTTGTACTTGCTCTCAAAATCTGATTCTGTTGATTTTGACTAATGGCTTACCCACCCAACAGAAATAGCACTGTTTACTTCCCTACCCAGGTTTACTTTTATCATTACTGCTAAGTTTTCTGTTAGCACACACTGTTTTAAATTAAATGAATATCCAAATACTGGTTTGAAGTTGCTAATGGCACCATATGCACTGCATTAGCTTGTGTACTATTTAAAGAAAAAGTCTTAATCGCGCTACCATCGCCTGAGGATATTTCTGTGGTAAGCGATTAAGATTCATGTAGAAAATCACTTCATGAAAACACTGGAATATAAAAACTTTTGTCTAGTTTATGCATTTTTGCTTTGATCCTTTAGACTAGGGCAGAAAGAGAGCTATCATTTAAAATCTGAGTATCTCGATAAATGTTTAGTGGTTATTTCTAACTAAATAGTTATTTCCCTATCCATAAAATCAATAATGTAACAGAATTTAAACATTTATTTCTAAACTTAACTAATGAGTCTATTTATCCCCTGGTTTCACTGCTAACCAGTCCACAAAAGGTGTAAAATAGGCAATATAAACCCAAAAGTTGGCTGAAGGATTTAGATTCAGGGGCCAAACCAACAAAACAACAACCCCATAAATGCATCTAATATTTAGAAAATACTGGAGGTGATAGCCCTCATTCTCAGCAAGGAGGTGAATTGCAGGCTGCCTGCAATATGTCACATCTATGCCACCAGCAGTCCTCCTTTCATGGGGGTCAAAACCCACAGCTGCTGTGGGGCTGGCAGGAGGCAGAAAAGGGTCCTTGCTCCTTGCCAGGGCTGGACCCATCCCTGGGTGTGCAGCAGCAGAGGAGGAAGAGGCTGGGAACCACTCCACCAGTCCCACACTTGACATTGTTCTGGAGTGATTTGTTCTTCATGACAGGGTCAAGCTGCTGTGAAAAGGTTAAACAAACGGACTTTGTAAGCTCCTTTTAGGGGAAAGCTGGTCAGAAGGCCCCTTTAATCACCAGTCCCCTTTATCCCTGGGAAAAGGCATCAGCCAGACTCACTTGTGCATCTGCAGGGAGCTGGGTGAGGATGGGGTGGAGGCTCCCTGCCCTCCTGCATCTGCCTTCAGCTGGAAAAGAAGAAATCCTATAGGGAAGGTGTTTGGCTGGAAGCTCTGGTGTGTCTCCCCCTGCGCCGAGGTGCTGCCGCAAAGGAAGATGACATTCCTCTGGGGCTGGTGTGTAGCCCAGCGTTCCTAATGCTGTCTGCACCCATCCTGTCAGGAGGGTAATGAGGGGAAAGTTCCCAGACAAAAATTAAAAGCACCTCGGTCTTCAGTGGGGGCTTGGAGGAGACTTGTAGCATCCTCCTCCTTCCCCGCCCATGGCTGCAGGTCTGGTGCTCTGCTGCGAGAGGAGCCCTTGTGGGTTAACTCCTGCAGACAAGTGGCTTTTAGCTCAGCTTCTCCTGCCCATTTTGAGGTGTGACCATCTCCTGGATACCCAGTGCATTACACACCTGAAATGCACACTCTTGGAGATGCCTTAGGGCAGGGATGGTTCTTCCTGCCATGTTAATCACAGGGTGGTTTATAAACAGCAACAGCTCTGCTTCTCTCCTGGTGAGAGTGGCAGCAGCCAATGGCAGCATCGCTCCTGCTGCCATGGGTAGTGGAGGTGGCAGGAGATGGCAGTGAAGCTCTGTGGCACAAGGTGCTGTATAGAAAGAATGAGAAGACACATGGTGAGAACCGAGCTGGGCAACAAGTGTCACAGTCACTATGCTCTCTGTCCTCAGAGATCCACTGCCCTTCACAGCTGAATAATTCCTTAACTTGGCTCCCCATCTATTTTCTGCTTGTCCCCATTAAACATCCTACTTCCTCACACTCCACTCCCCAAGTCTTGGCTGTGTATTGTCCAACACCCGGTCACAGACATGGGCTTTCATTCCAGGAGCAACACTTGCAGGAAAACCCCGGAGTTATGAGCAAATAACAACTAATGTCTCCCTGTGTCAATTCCAGCCATGCCGGGATCATGTTTGTTGGTTTCCTCCCTTAAATCCTTACATCACTCACCTTATTCTTTTCATCCGCTTTCTTCTCATCAAGGCTACTTTGGTAGTGATTTTCCAGAGTGACCCTAAAACTGCTCTTTTTGATTCCTGATCTCCAACCTGCCACTGTTTCATCCTCCTCTCTTCCTGATTTCCTTTTCCTATCTCCACCTCACTGTCAACCCATTCCACCAACTTCTACTTCATGTACACTTTCCCCCTTACTCTGCAGACAAATATGACACAAAATAAGTTCTCACCTCCCTCCTGTGTATTGCCATGCCCCATCAGAGGTGCCACTCATCCTTCCAGCGCAAATAAAACAGATCCATGCAGCAAAAAAACCCAACAAACCCTAGAGCTGATTTCCCTGGTTTCTATGAAAAGGCCTGACTGCTACAGAGCTCCAGCTATAGGACCAGCTGAGGACCATCATGCCTCAGTTGCTCTAGCTGGATCCTGAAGTGCATGAGAGCATAAGATGGGTGGCAATAAGAGTCCCCTCACTGTGCTGCCAGGCAGCAGGGGCTTTTCTTTCCCCTCCGAGTGAGGATTTTCTAGCTCTTCCTACTTTTCTGAAAATCACAAGAAATCAGATAAGTTAATATCTGGAGAAGAGCTATAAGAGATTTGCTCATGAGGCACTTCCTTAACTCCTTTCAAACTTTGCCTAAAACATTTTTTGCCCCTATATTATTGATCACATAATTTTCGTTTGTATGTGCAATAAGCATCCTCCGTGACCAAAACTTAGAAAAGCAATACAGTGATCCCTACTTTGCATTCTTCTCCAAGTAATCTTGATGGTTGAAGTAAAAATGCAGGTCTTTTCCCTATAAGGAGGTCAGTTTCATACCCCTTCTGCACTACTAAGGCCATTTCTCAGGCAGTAATTCCAGTATCCAAGATCTGGATTAAGATTATTCTAATACAACAATCAAGGGCAGAATGAAAAGGTTGATGCTTCCATTTAGTAATGTAGATGTGAACTGAATAGCCTAACCACCTTCTGTGCCCCCTGATCTCTGACTATCATACAGCTCATGCCGAAATAGCCATTGTATTTCACAGAGCTGGAAGAGGTTTGGTAAGAGGCCAATCTTGCAACACTTCTTTAAAACACAGCAAAACAGGCACGGTAGCAACTGCCAGCAAAGGACCTGATACTGAGCTACTGAAGTCAGCAACGGCCCTGCCAGCGATTTGGGTGTGAATTAAGAGCCTGAATTCCAGATGAATCAACATAATTCTACCACCATAGTCAGCCTTCAGCTGAGTTTAAACTCTGTCCTGCATCAGCTGTCAGCCAGCTGAATAGTTGCCTTGCCTGCAGGGATGATAGCTTTATGGCAATGAAGCACTAAAAGAGAATTCAAGAAATTATCCAGGCCACTCTCCCACCATCCAACCCCCTGTGTGGAAGTTAAGTAAATCACTTTAGATAATATCTTATGGATATTTCTTCTAACCTGCACTTCTGCAGCACTAGCTCTGGGATTTTTACCAAACCATTTTCTTGGAAAACACTTTAAGAGACAGTGTTTGTAATATTGAACCTGGTTTTCTTTGCTGCCATTTTAAGTGATTTTTCATTCTTCTTCAGTTGGTCACAAGTGATCACCAGCAACTTTGTAGCAACATTTTACACATAGAAAACTATTGTTCCCCTGCTCTTTTTTGTCTTTTTCCCCGGTTTAAACAAAGCCACATCTTTCACTCCTCATGTTTTCCAGATTTCTGTTATCCCATAGAGTCTTTCCTGTTGATCAGTATGAGGGCAGCCAAGCTTCCAAACTCTGCAAACAGCACGCTAAAATGCTATTAGGCTGGGAACTGTAAGGCACGTACCTCGGAAAGATGATCAGGGAGGGATCCGGTGCTCTGGAAATGAGTTGCTATGCAAAAGGATTTGGGGGTTCCTGTGAAAATCTGGAATTCCTGCAAAAATCTGGAGATCTGGGGCAGCTATTCCCCAGAGTGACCCATGGAGTGTAATCACAGCTCTGTATTGAGAATTTGGATTATTCAGCAACCCCCAGGCAATTAAAGACTAATGCGATATGGCCCAGACAGGGGAGATGCATTTGGACTGTTTTGGAGCAAGAGTGCGGTCACCCCTGCTTAAAGCATCTGCATATTGAATCTCCTAAAAGTAAGATAAAAGTCTTTTAAGAGAAAGAGAAATTATTCCTTGGACAGAAATAATGTTACCACACGCATTTTACAGACATTTTCATCCAGATGAGTGATACAAATGTTTTTGCATTAAGTTTCATTTTCTCTCAACATAAAGATGCAGATACCACAGACATGCAGCTCTACTAGTGGGGCATGGAATTGGTCCTGCATGTTATCCATAATTATATGTAGGATCAGATCTGAATTAACTCAGCTTGGTGCTCAAACCTAGAAACATGTGGTTTGTGTTTTAAAGTACCAAAGTCTGGGCAATGAGTTCAGTCTTCTCTAACTTTTTCCTGTGTTTTTAACACTAATTGCTTGTAGGTCTGACTTTCCAAAAAACATGATCATAAAGACCAAATTTGCAAAGTTAATTCCAGTGTTTCCTTGCTCTGTTGAACTTTGTAGGTAAGATTTCACATGGACATTATTTAGTTCCCAAGCAATCAAAACCAGTTTCAGAAAGTAATAAAATTTGGACTTAAATATCTTACAGAACTGGAAAAGCTCCAAAATGAAAAACCTCAGAAATTTTCAGAATATGAACAGATTTGCATCTCCCCAGTAAAGTAAAAAGTAAAAAGTAAAAAGTCCTTTAACAACATGTCACATTGCCAGGAGACAATCAGAGGTTACAGCCTACTCAAAAAGTGACCTTTGGTTTGCATCTGACAGAGTTGTGCAAGCACAGACAATGACCACCTTTGATGACAGTGATATTCTAAATTTGGCATCGAAGTCAGGTTAGCATCTTTGTTGCTACAGAAGTTATAGTTAGGTTTTTGTTCTCTGTGGGGTGGGAAGTTTTGTTGGCAATATACTGGTATGATTTCTGTTGGCAATATACTATTATGACTTCTGAGGCTCCTGATAACTTAAATATCAGCTCAAAACAGCATTTTATAGACTCCAGAAGGCTCTCCAAGGAGGGCAAAGACAGAGCTCAGCTTCAAGAATGGAAGGATCTGGTGTACATTGTATTCTGATTATCCTTTATGCAATTTATTTAAACCTGCCTTTTAATAAATACTGTAAATGTGCCGATATTATGGGATGGAACAAAGTTCAGAAGCAGCCACCAGCATTTTCTGAGTAAGAACACAAAAATCTAGAAGAGCAATGTGAAGGGCAGTGAGAGGAGGCTAAATCAGTGTAAAACCAGAACACTGGGGTAGTAACAAAAGTGTCTGGCTGAAGAAGGGCTTTACAGAGCCCTTACAGAGAGGTGATGAGAAAAAAGGGATGAAAATGCACGTGCAGAAGTTAGAGGAGAAAATCTGTTGAAAACTGTGTCAGTTGAAAACAGTCAGCTGTCACTGGACTTTCATGGGGAGTTCTGTGCCCATGCTCAGAAGCTGTCACAATGCTCACAGAGGGCAGGACACATCTCTGTGGGATACAGCGCAGAGAAAAATACTTGTTCTGCTATTGATTTTCAGCAAAAAATGAAGGTAAAAGTTTCCTTTGCGATGGATCTTAACAGGGCTCCAGAGCAACAAAACGACCGAGGATGTGCACATTAGAGACGAATAAAAACTTATTTTAAAAGGCCCTTGCCTTTGTAAAATCAAGCCTGGAAAAGATTAGGGAATGTCAGGACTCGGGCGCTTCCTACATGACGCCGCTGTATCTGGGCATGTCTTTCATTTTGGATGGTCACCTATTTTTTATGTATTAATTAAAGACCAGCCTCAGGGAGTGCTAGCACAAAAAAAAAAAACAAAAAAAAAAAAAACAACCCAAACAACAAGAACCCAATAGGGTAAAATTCTTTATTTGAAGGAAATCAAATACTCTGGAAATATCCCCATTTTCTTTTTCCGTTTTCCAGATGACCAGGAAAGGCAGCTACACCTCTAAAAATAAATACAAAATAAATAAGTAGATAAATAAACCACCAACAAGCAGACAAAAAACATCTCCCTGCTTTAGGATAAAGCCAAAGGAGGGAAGAAACAGATCCCTGAAGTGAAATTATTGGGAAAAGCCTCCTTTGGGAGGACTCT